AATATTATCTCTTGGTGTTTAAAAAAAACCCGAGGACGTTTCACCACCAGTCAAGGCTTTTATCATCACTCGGTGTGTATTTGTTTGTAACTGGAATTTCCAACCGTGAGTGATTGCCCCAGAACTTAAATATGCCTTTTTTTTTTTTTAAGTCATCAAAGGGTTTAATCAGTAGTCCTGGTACTCCCCTACCTCGGGTTACACTGTCACAATGAATAAGTAACTCTAGCTCCTTTGGCTGTTTACCGATCATGAACAAACCAGGACCTGTCCTCCCCCACACACACACACACACACACACACACACGTTCCCAAACAGCCTTCACCCCCAAGGTCACTGGTACATCTGCTGCTATCAGACATGTTGGCAGCTGCTCTTTTACATCTTCTCCCCCCTCCTGCAGCTTTGTCTGAAATATTTGACATAATGAAGAAATGCTGACTTTCGTTACTCTTGAGTTTTGCAATAATTGACTTCACAAAGGCTGCTCTGTGTAGAGGAGCTGCTTACTTATTGTTTCGACACAGTCTTTTATTAAGCTCTCTTTATCCTCACCCCCCACCTCCTCCCTTTGTAACACATGCTCCGACTCAAGACCCCTCCTTGTGGCCTTATTGGGTTCCTACAGCAAATACAGGCTTTATTTGTTGATTGAACAAAAGTAAAATGTTATTTCATAATTCCCTCTCTTACAGGCCTTCAGGAAATTCCTCCCCTTGTTCGACAGGGTGCTGGTGGAGCGCCTTATCGCGGAGACGGTAACGAAGGGGGGCATCATGCTGCCAGAGAAGGCTCAGGGCAAAGTGCTGCAGGCCACCGTGGTGGCAGTAGGACCTGGCTCTCTCAATCAGGTGAGATGAGCCATACTGAGCCTGACGCTAGAGCCTGTTTTCTACTAGATACTGGCACATCTGCTATGAGGAGTGTGTGGTTTTATAGTATTTGTGTGATGTTTTATTCTAGAAAGGGCACGTTCTGCCAGTCAGCGTGAAGGTTGGAGAGAAAGTACTCCTACCAGAGTACGGTGGAACTAAAGTCAGTCTGGACGACAAGGTGCAGTACACGTTCTACTGGCTCTGTTCAGATCTGTTTCCCCGTGTGCCTTCCTTGTTTTAATTTCTTGTTTTCTCCTTCTATCCTCCAGGACTATTTCCTGTTCCGTGATGGGGACATTCTCGGTAAATACGTCGAATGAGTCTTCATCTTTGTTGTTGCTGTAGATCGTGTCGAGTCCCTGTCGTCATCATGCCCCGGAGAGAAGAAATGAAGTGGCCACTTTCATGTCTATTTTTCTTTTTTCTATGTTATTGCAATTGTAAATAATTCTAATCGCATTTTGTTACAATAATAAAGGTGAACTGCGGATTACTGTTTTTTTTTTTTTTCTCATGACTTTATATTGTTAATAAAAGAAAAGTTAGCAGTGGATATTTAATTACAGGTTGTTGAATACTTTAAAGTCAAGGTTCACTGTAGCTTTTCACTATCAATGAATGAACCAATATATCTCACTTAATCTTTCTAATATAAAACAAACAACTACAACTCTAGCCTTGCATACATTAAAGCCTAATTTATAGTATATAATAAAATGGAAATTTGATGACGATCTGATTTTCTGAAGAATGTAACTGCTGCATTGTGTATTATATTCTAGTACTCTATTACAAATAAGATAAGCTAAAACAGTATTTCTGTATATAAATGTAATTTGGCCCTCAACAAAACTTAGCCAAACCTCAGGTTTTCTAGTTTCATATGACACCAGTGCCTTTTACTCTATTTCTAAAACTGAGCCAGAAAGACCAGCGTTCTGTGTTGCAGCTATAAGATGGAGCTCATTTTAACTATTTACTAAACTACTGTCATGTCCAGATTAATCTGTTTTGAGCTTTTAAGGCAAAGACATTTTATCCTATTTACATAACCGGTGGGCTCCTGCGATGTGTAATTAAAACGCCTCTGGGATCTCTGTTTATTCTGACAACCGTTAATAAAGGAGAACTGCCTTGTAAATCTCTTCATTTAGCCTACAGTATACAGGAGAAACAATTTTCATAAAAAATAGTTTAAAAAAGAGACATAACGAGTACAAAGATGGTAAAGTGTCAGTCTGGTTTTTAATTGTATTAAGTTCAGTAAAGTGCAATGAATGAGCTGTTGTCACATGCAAAGATGTGCCTTGTTTAATAAAAAAAAGCTATATTAAGTAACATTGTACAGAAATCAAATGATACCTAATACGATATAAAAATCCCACACTATAAAATGTACTGCATTGAGTAGTCCTATTTTTTAAAATTTCAATACCTAATATTTTCAATGCAGGACTTTTACTTATAACAGTATTTTTACAGTGTAGTATTAGGATCTGAATGCTTCCTTCACCACCGAGTACAAATACATCATATGTGTAATAAAGTAGTTACTTTACACCACTAGCAAGCAATACATTTGTATTTAGTCAAAGTGAACCACTCTTATCCTAAAATAAAAATGTTTCTCCCTCGCGCTCAGGTTCACATCCTCGTCAGCTGCTTACAACGCAGCGGCTAACGAACATCCGGGTATTCTGTCAGCTGCTACAACGCAGCGGCTGACGAACATCCGGGTATTCTGTCGAGATGGTCATGGCGGAGGGTACTGCAGTTCTCAGGAGGAATCGGCCTGGAACCAAGGCAAAGGTGCGTTTTCACCCCGCAAAAACACTTCAACACTCCTGCAAATCACCCAGCACAACCCGGCGATGCTGGCTCGTTAGAGTCGTGTTGGTTTACCTTTAATTTAGGTCTCAGACAACATACAGGAAGGCCCTGACCTGGAAATAGCCAGCTAGCTTAACGGTTAGCTTTTTTGGTCCCCGTCTAATTCCTGGAGTAACGTTAACTTAAATGGCGTTTGCTCTGTATTGCAGAGTTCCTTGTGATAATCATTGTTGCTTGAATATAACCACACAGCCAATTTGGTGTGAATGAAGTTCACACAAGATCCTCTAAAAAATAAAATGCTCTCTAGCTGTTAGCATTGCAGGAAGCAGTCGCACCCCAGGCGACGTTATCTAACCAGCTAATGAGCGTCAGGTTAGCTTCTTTGACGCTACATGCCATGTATCATACGTGTTATTACGATGTTAAGGTTGTTAGTCAACGGCAGCGTTGTTTGTGCTACAATGCCAGCTTTGTCTAAAATTACTCCTTCCATGTTTAGGATTTCTACAACTGGCAGGATGAATCATTTGAGGAGATGGACAGCACCCTGGCTGTCCAACAGGTGTGTTGAATGTTGTGTGTGTTTTCCCCAGAAATGCCTGGTGGTGCAACCTTATCATTTGATTGGTCAACGATAAGTATGACTAAATGTCCTCTTACACAATCTAATCTGAGCTTTGTTTGATACAATCAGTAGTAATGTGAGTATGATTGCCAAGCTGGGAGGACATTTTTTCAGGTGTGTCTTTAACACAATATTCACAAGCCCTTATGTACACAGAGACGACAACGACGATGAGGAATGTTAGCTGTAGTAACCATTCCTGTCTAAACTTGCCATGAATAAATCCCTTCCTAAAGCTGTTCCAATGTAAGCGATGGGGGACACGTCCACAGTCGTCTTTCAGTAAATATAATGCATTCCTAAGGTCAATAGTCTTTTTTTAAAATATTATTCTACTGCAGCTCAGTAAGGAAACAAAAAGAGGGAATTTTAACACTAACTCTGGAAGATTTCCACTGATTTGAGGAGGATCCAACTGTGGATCTAATGTCTTGTAAGGTCGTAGTAGCTTCAGCTGAACTTTATATATGAATATTTGGAGGACTGTTGATGTTGCCCCCCCCCCCCCCCCATCTTTGACATTGGAGCCGTGATGGGATCTCCCACATTGGAGCCGTGATGGGATCTCTTCACAAACAACAATCGCTGTACAGTTGCTGTAATCATGTTGCTTCACTGTACTAAGCGTCTCAATGTTCATGTGTTTTTTTGTGAGAACTTGTGAGAAATATGAAACTACCCTTAATGGTAATGGACCTTTCAAAGACTAGGGGTCTCATTTATAACTTCTCACGCAAAAGTTGTGATGTATGAAAATAAACTTGACGAGAGAACGGGCAACTGATTATCATCATCTGTAAGATAACATCAACTAGAACTGCAGAGCAGAGCGTCAATAGTTTAAATACTCCTCTAATACTGTGTAGATCTCACCAAGTACGATCTTAGCTTTCATATAGTTTTTGTGATTAAAATCTCTGCAGTAAACACAACTTTATTCATTTATTGTTTATTCAATAGGAACATATGCAGCATACTGTACACAGACAATTTGAAAACATCCGATGCAAGTGTCACTCCATATTCTCATTATCAGTCCTAATCATAATGCCATAAGAAAACATGAATTAATAAATACATAAATTGTGTTCACTTATTAAACTTCCTTTTTTAATCAGAGTGGTTGATAACACAGATTTTCGCGATCATTTTGGAATTAATCAGTGCGATTGCTGTAAACGTATAAATACTGCGGTGACACTTAAAGAAATCCTTGTCTTCGTCTTCCCCTCGGTAGTTTCTGTGATTCACCGTAAAGACCCATTGATCAGCAGCTTACTTCTATGCATCAACATTCATACGGTGCTTTCATTGACCGTTTATGGTTGAATGTGGTTGTGTTTTTATAAATGAGACTCCAGGAAATCACCTTCAGTCACTTAGCCTTCATGGGATAATGTTTTACATGTAAAACTTGAGCTTTATTTCAGTTTCCCACAAACAGCCTACAGTTACCACAGACATTGTGTTCTGCTTATATAAAGGTGAAGATCATGTTGCTGTGGGTGAGTGACGGTCTCTATTGAAACGTGTTGTTTGATGGCTCTGTTTTCAGTACATTCAGCAGAACATTAGATCAGATTGCTCCAATATCGACAAAATCCTGGAGCCTCCGGAGGGTCAGGATGAAGGCGTGTGGAAGTATGAACACCTCAGGTATGTTCACAAACACTTTCTTTCATTTGTTCTTTGAGTCAACGCAGGCTGTGGAGTTATTTATTTTTGAACACTTTCTTTATTAATTTTTGCACAATTCAACAAAACCACATTAACGGTATAAAGAAAGGAAAAATATAATACAAGTAGACAATTACAGGCTCCTTATGTAGAGAGTAACGTTCAGTCCTATACTTTAAATACAAGCCTGTCATGTTGCAGTGGACCCTTTACTGAATATCATCAAGCACCCAAAATAATAAAAAGATAAATGCTTGGTTCCCCACATATGACTATGAATGGGTTTGTGTGTTGTTGTTTGGTTTAGAGATATATGAGAACACTTCTGATGTCCAGGGGTTGTGGGTGTCAAACATTGTCCACTTATGAGGACATTTTGGGGTTTATGGAAGGAATGGATAGATTATGAGCAGGAGAGTGGGGGCCAATACAGATGAAGCTGAAGTATGTATTTTTAATTTCTTCTCTCGTTCCGTCCTCTTTGTAGGCAGTTCTGCCTGGAGCTCAATGGACTAGCTGTAAAACTGCAGGTAAGTCATCGAACTCACCAGATGTGAGGATACTTGGATCGAAGGATTGTTGTCACAAACTTGTGTCAATACCAAACGCAAACGTCTGAATGAGATGTAATTTAACGTTTTTAAAGGAACACACGCTTTAAAGCTGTTGAGGGGAACACCTAAATGAGTTTAGTGGAAGAATCTGTGTACAAAGTCTTCACAACTACTAGTGGAAATTAGTCAAAGGAAGTAGTCCAAGGAAGGTATCATGTCCAACATCACACATTGATGAAAGCTATGAACGGACAGGTAGGTCCTTCCTTCTAACGAGTGGTTTAACGGTGTGTTCATTATTCATTTTATTTCAGAGTGAGTGCCATCCAGACACCTGCACCCAGATGACGGCCACAGAGCAGTGGATCTTTCTATGTGCTGCCCACAAGACACCCAAAGAGGTGAGTCAGGCCTGCGCTTCACCCAAAGATCACTTGGTTGTCATCAACAGTTTGAAACGGTATCTTTTTGTGTGTTTTGCATCCTCAGTGCCCTGCCATTGATTACACCAGGCACACGCTGGACGGAGCTGCCTGTCTTCTCAATAGCAACAAATACTTCCCCAGCAGGTCAGTCGCTCCCCGATTCTGTGTTTTCGATGCTCTTCAGTGATCCAACAAGCACTTCATTTGATGCGTACCAACTCCTTTATTGAGTGGGTCTTTGCTGTCGCCTCACATTCAAATAGACGTGAGTTCACACTGCCACCGTTTGTCTTCGTAGGGTGAGCATCAAGGAGTCATCAGTGGCCAAGCTGGGCTCCGTCTGTCGTCGCATCTATAGGATATTCTCTCATGCCTACTTCCATCACCGCCAGATATTTGACAAGTATGAGGTAGGTTTCTCTGGTGACATCTTATGAACCAAATGCACCTTTTTAAATGCTTTTATTTTGGTGTCTTGTCAAAAAATTGTTATGCTAGTAAATAATAGCCCCTCACATGACTTTCTATGTATCAGGACGCAGGACTGAACGTGTTGCGCCGTGTGTCTCTGTGTACAGAATGAAACGTTCCTGTGTCACCGGTTCACGCGCTTCGTTATGAAATACAACCTGATGTCCAAGGACAACCTGATCGTGCCCATTCTGGAGGAGGAAGTGCAGAACACCTCGTCAGCCGGGGAGAGCGAGGCCTGAAGACACGAGCTGCTGCTGCCACAAAGGGAGACACATGTAACACACACACACACGAGACACATACACACACACCTTGCATATACAGTACACACACAAATCTATATCTATATATATATATATCTATATATATATATACACACACACACACTACAGTGTGACTCATGTCTAGTAACACTGTCCATGTCCCTCCCCCCTCGTCACCTGTGTCTATCTCAAAGGAAGTAAGGGTTAAAGAGTAGTGGGAGCGGAGCTCAGCCATGCCTGCAGGACAAGATGACGTTTTTCTTTCTATCCTATTTACTCTCTGTATATTCAGATGCACACTGTGTCTCTGGATGCAGCCCCTGCTCTCACACTACTCCTGTACGGGAGACCCCGTTTCCTTTTTTTTTTTTTAAATGTTCTTTTAGCAGCTGGATTTGCAAAATGTAATCATGGTGACCTGTATTGTTGACAAAGGCACACACTGACAGCATCCCCCCTCTCCCTCTGTATATACCCCCCCCTCCCTCTCTGTCTTAATTCACTTTCATGTTTTCTGACGGTGCTTCACTTTCTTTGTCTGCTTCTGTTCTTTCTATTCGCTTGTGTTGCCTACCAGCCTGTTTTTTTTTCGGGGGGGGTTGTCCCATGAAATGGATCACTAAATTAGCCTGCTGACTTAATACTGCTATTAAAACACAAACGTAGGTGTGTGGCTTGTGTGGTGGTAGTGAACAAAGACAAAACGTAACCTCTAGCTGTGTAATGTGTGTACTCGCGGTCAGATCTTCTCTCTCTGGCCTCTGAAGTGTGTCAGAGTGTTTAGGAAGGCTTGTTGGCTAACTCTGATCCTGCTTTGTGGCATGCTCTCGTTTTAATACTGTGTACAATGAGCTGATGTTTCCCTTTCCTTGACTTTACGGGACTGAGCTGCTGTAAGCCAGTTTTTACAAACATGAGTAAATACGAGGAAAGGAGGAAATGTCGGCTGCATTTATGTATCGGAGCACAACCTCCCTTCTTTCACCCTCCCTCCTCATTAAGTTATTTTGTGGGAAGAGTTGTCAATCCAAACCCACTTTTTTTTTTTTAAATGGACTAAAAAATTTTGTTACTGTGGACATTTTCATGATGTCTGTTAATAAAAAATACCTATTCAGTATGTGTGGACATTTTGATCTTGTGTGTGAAACACGTCAGGATTAATGCAACACGACTCTCAGACAATGGGAAATAAGTGTTTAATAAAATAAAGGAAGCAAAATGTACAACTGTCAAAGGCTGGAACGTTAACAGATTTAGTAAACCTGGATGGTAAGTTTGTGGAGGAAAATACATTTAAACATGTATGAATTGTTTTACATATCACTGGAATACCTACAATTATACATTTGATCACCTTTCCATCCCCCAAAAAAGCAAAATAAAATGAGTCAGTTGGTTGAAACCCAAATTTTGCACAATGAATACGAACATTAAGATATTTACAAAAAGCATTGTCCTTAGAAAACATCCCTTTATTGTAATAAAAGACCGGATTAAACGTCTCATAGTAGACAGTTTTACAAAACAAAAGTATAAAAATCAATGCAGCTGAACCAGAGATGTCTTTACTCCACGAAGGCTTTCTAAACCTGGTGCCTACATTACCCACAATGCAACTTGACAGTTTGGTCAGAGATTCAGGTGTGCTTTGCTAATAGCGGCTAATGTAGCCTGGAGCAGAGACCAGTTACAGCGGTCTGGTGAACTAACTTAACATCCAGATTACTTTTAAATATTGTATTCTGCAGAACAAAGACTTTATATAACGACATCTCTGAAGAACTTCAACCATTACAGAGAGAAGCAGGTGCGTTGCCAGTACCATGTAAAGAAAGTAACTGCGGAATATTTAATACTTTAAAATGTTTGCATGATAAGACGTCAGATTAAACATAAGGGGTTACAACACTGAAAAGCTTCCCAATAGCAAGAGACGACTGGACATTGAAAATGTGTTAAACTGTGAAATACTTAAAATTGTAAACTGTGTGAGCTGATTTGACAAAGTGGAGCCCCTTCCCCTCATTTCACCACCGGTGTTGTGCAGAAATCTGTGCTTGTGCTTTATAGTGTGATTTCCCATGAGCACCTGAACTGACCTAAAAAAAACAAAAGATGGATTTAAATATGCTTTAAGTGTTTCCCTCCCCAACAAGTCGATGTAAAGTGTGGACAAAGATCTAAATAATACCTCATTCTCATTATGGCTTCGTTAAAAAGTGCTGAGTTCTTCTATATTGAAAGTCTGTTAAAAAGAAAAGGATCATGAACACGATGGTTTATGAACAGTCTGGACTTTCACCGTGTTCAGGTGATTTCTCCTTCAGTAATCCAACAACGTTTTAAAATCCTCAACTTTAGTCCGCGTCCAAAACCTGCTCACATGCAGGTGACTTCAGCTTTGCCCTCTTCCTGCTCGAAGCCACCTTCCTCCAGGTGGGACAGGGCGCTGGGATACCCCCCGCTGGGATACCCTCCTCCGAACACCGGGAATCCCCCGATGCCCCCGGTGGTCGGAGACAGCTCCTCCTCCGGAGGGATGGGGCTGCTGACCGCTCGACTCACGGAGCGACTGGACACGTCGCTGTGCAATGGTAGAACCTGGACGGACACAGAGACAGGAGTTAGTACTTTTGTGCAATAAAGTACGAGTAATAAAAGGAGGGACACGCTTTGTGAAGTGCAACCTCCACTTTGTACACCAGGGTGCAGTGTAGCCACATAAAAAGCCTCTCACAGCAGGATTCTCTCAGTCAGACTTCCTCCATTAATAGATACTGACTGAAGAAATAATTGCCTTGTTTAGTGCCAAAATACCCCAAAAAATAATTACATTTGGTGGCTTTACTCCTCTCCTCCTCTCACCTGGTTCCTCGTTTGTCCCGACGACGCCTGACCTCTGACCGGCCGCTGGAGAAACACAACCTGCTTCGTGGCCAGATTCCCATCGCTGCGCACACACAGACACACACACACACACACACACACACACACGGTTAGCTTATGGAGCGGTGTTGGTGCAGAGCGGGCTGAGTCGGTGGTGCATCTACCTGTCGTGACGGATGATGGGAGTGGGCAGCACGCATGTGAGCAGCCACCCGAACTCAGCCAGAGTGTGAAGGAGAGGCCCGTAGTCCGTTTTCACATTGGTGCCCTGAGTGTAGACACAACATATACACATATATACACACAGTATATATATATATATATATATATATATACACACACACACACACATACATATACACACACACACACACAGTATATTAAAGATAAGTCAGCTGTTGAAGAAGGAAAACATGCCAGTGTCCAGTTATAAATACAGACATTGAACTATCTTGGCTTGGTTTCATGTCTTTTGTAGAGCCAGGATTTAAAGGGGTAGTTTCCTCAGGAAAAAAAAAACAAAAACAAAAAAAAAAAAAAAGGTATTTAGCCCGGTCAGCTGTGTGTAAAAAGGCAGCTCTCTCATTCATTTGAATGCACACACACCTCGATGACGGTCCACTGCTCTACGACGATGGTGTCGTTGGCAGGAGGAGAGGTGCTTCTCTCCTCGTACACAAACAATCCCTCCAGCGATCTGGGCACCGGCTCGCCTGAAACACACACAAAGTCACTTTAAAGTGTGTACAAGTGTTTATATTGTCATCTTATATATAATAAACCACTTTTATAACACTGTTAGGAGGCAAATGAACGATACACAGCAAATCTTTTCAGTGCTGAAAGACCGCAGAGGAAACGCAACAGTGAGAGAATGTAATGGGTTGATAATGACCCAGTTATTTAAAAAATAGGTTAGACTGTGTGTGTGAAAGTCAGAGTGTGTGTGTGTGTGTGTGTGTGTGTGTGTGTTTGTGTGTTTGATAGCCCATTTATTTCAGGCCTCAGAGGTTTACGGACATGTCTGCTACTCCGCAGAGGAACAGGAAGTGAGGTTGCCGGGGTTGGGAAGACGACTCCAAATATAGACGTAGCGGGAGAGAGAAGAGGAGGGATCATAGCCAAAACAGGAAGTCACTGAGTGTGTGCGTGTGTGTGTGTGTGCGTGCCCATGTGTGAATCAGTGCTTTATGAGAATAGTGGAAAAGGTAGAGATAGAAGGAAAAACACCAGTTGTTCTTAACTTTTTAAACATAAGGCCTTGTCTTCTTAATAAACAGATGTGCTTTTCATGACGCAGTAAAATGCTACTAATGTAGCCAGCAGTATACAAAGTATTTCAAATTGGCTTCACAATAATGAACGAACACATTAAAAAGCTCCAACATGCATTTGTTAGTGATTTAAAACACTTTGAAAGCATTCAGCACAGTGAGTACTTTTACTTTTGATACCAGTGTAGTACATTTAGCTGATAGTACTTTTACTTAAATATTACTTGTAATAGAGTATTTTTAGACTGTGGTATTTCTACTTTTACCGAAGTACTTCAGACGAACCTTTGGGTGTGTCCCAGTAGACGAAGGAGTCCACCAACGACCAGCCTTTGCAATAATAGGCGGCAGTCAGCTCCAGCCAATCAGCTTCCAGGGAGCTGACCACATGGCCCTTCCTGGACACGCGCATGGAGAGCGCCCCCTGGTGGTACTGACAGGCCAGCGAGTCCAGAGGAGCACAGCCCGGAGCCCAGGAGTGGAAGAAGACCAGCAGCCTCAAATCTGGAATCAGGGACGACAAGAGGAACTACTGAGATACTTGTACACTATATATTACAGGCAAATATTGTACTTTTTACCCATTAGTTACGATGCAGATTTAGTTTGTTAATATAAAATATAAGTCAATTAATATATTACGATCTGCTATTATTGGTTAAGCTACCCAACAGTATATAAAGTATTTTAAATTAGCTCCACCTTTACCAACATTAGAGAGATGAACACATCAATGCATCAATAATATAATTCAGCATAACAAGTACTTTTATTAATCCGTTACTTTTATTTAAATATATTTTTATGCTCATACTTTTGTACTTATATATATACTTAAATAATAACTAAATTGTGGTATTGCTACTTTTAGTTAAGTGCAAGTACTGAGGGTGTCTGCCACCACTGATTAATGGTTATTAGAATATTCATTACACAGAATTCATCCACAGCGAGTGTCTCACCAGGACTGTAGGTGTTCTCCTCCAGCTCTCTGTCTCCGGGCGGAGTACCAGGGGGGGTGCGTGGAGGGGAGCGACAGCTCCTCTTAGGGCTGTGCACCCGGCCGTTGGTGATCCCGCTCACCTGCTGGAGGACCGAGCCAACGAATCGAACGCCCCCCCGAGCGCTGCTGTTCACCTGCCGGAGAGAGAAACCCAGAGTCAGACGAACATCTGGCTCAGCGTTGCAGTAAAACCAGGCTGAAGACTTTATGCTCAACGGCACACAGGTAGTGGTGGAAGGTCACTGAAACCAGAAAATACTGGGTAAGTAAAAATCCATAAGTGAACTGAATTTATTGCTATTTTCAATGAGAACAACATTTCATTAACTGAAATGATCACGTATAGCAGCTTTAAAACTATGATGGTTAAAATCACCATGTTTACCAAAATAACAATGAGTTTGTGTATTCTTCGGCAAGAAGAAATGAAAGTATCCATTTTATTTATTCTAAGGATGTTAGAGTGTAATATCATCATGTTTTTAGGGATTTCTTTGAGGCGTGAAAGTTTCGTGTATTTTGCTCATTTAAGGAGACGTAAAAAGTGGAAATGATTAATGTTAAACTTATTTTAAACATCTCTAAATTCTCACAATGTGAAAGTATTCTTTCCCATATTTAAGGGATTTTTAAAAAATATTTTAACAGGTGAACATATCCAATATTTCACCTGTTTAAAGGATTACAGAGTCCTACAAAAGGTGAAAGTGTTAAGTATTCCACTTATTTGAAGCTCTTTTTAAGCATCTTAAGAGTCTTGAAAAGATGAATTTTTCAATATTTTGACAAACGTTTTATTTTTTTTAAACCTTAGATTCATGAAATTATCAAAATTGCACTTCCAAAAGGATTTCATGTGCTTAAAAAAGGGAAATCATCCAGTAGGATTTTAGAGGCCTAAAGGAATGAAAGTATATAGAATTATTTCTTTACTGCCTAAAACAATCTCCTGGTGACCCCTCTGATGATTCATGGGACCTCTTGGAGCTTTTTAGTTGCGGTAGATCTCACTGACCCTGTCGATGAGCGCTCGGACCGTGTCCCCGGTCAGTGACTCTCCAGGTAACGGCCACTCCTCCACCTTCAACATCGGCACGCTGTAACACATGGACGCCATCTGCTTACTGAAAACACAGACAGACGGAAAAAACATCCATTAAACGGAACATGAGAGGAGTTCAGCGGTAACGTAGCCTGATGTTAAAGCTGTTCAGGTCAGTGGGGAGTTCCTGGATTCGAATCCATCTGGAGGGTTCATAGTTCACTTGTAATTGTCACTGAGCTGCCGACACCGACACATAAATCATTTATAGGCTCAGCGGGAGGCGGCTACCGCCGACTGTCTGAGCAATTAACACAGAAGGTAAACAACAACTTAAGCAACTCAAGTGATGAAAGATCGTACACCACATGCTGCATTTTTTACAAGAAAGTGAGTTTTTGTAAAATAACGGTCACACAGAGTCAGTGGTGGAAGAAGTACCCATGTAAAATTACCTCTTTGCAAAAATACTTTGGTACAAATAAAAGTCTTATATTCAAGATTTCAGTATTAATGGAAAAATGTACTTGAGGTATTAAAGTAAAAGTACTTGTATTGTGTAAAATGGTCCCTTTCAGACAGTAATATATTGGAATATTCATATAATGTTTTAACACGTAAGCAGCATTTTAATGTTACAGCCGGTGAAAGAGGAGCAGATACTGACTTTAAATAATGTTGGATAGTAAAGTAAAATAAAAATATCTCAAATTGTACTTAAGTACAGTAGTTGAGTAAATGTCCTTAGTTACTCTCCACTACTGCATACCATTTCCCTTCTCTATAATTTTGCATAGAAACACCATCATTAACATTATTAATTCACCTCTACTGCCGTCTTATGAAATAAAAATCATCATCACAGTTACAGTATCCCAACCAATCAAACCGCAGAGATCAGGGATGCTTCACCCCCATTGGCTGCTGTGGGAGCCCTGTTGTTGGGTGGATTTCTAGCCAATAGACGTCATGGTAGACGTGAGTCAAACCAAAACAGTCTCCTCCAGGCACGCCAGTCTGACCTCCTACCAGGGCTGTGCATTAAATATGCAGCCGACTTCATCCATCATTCATCCATTTACTAGACAGTATGGAGGCGAACATGTGGCCACACAGTGGGGAGGCATGTGTGGCAGAGGGAGTGGAGTCACATACAACATGTACAGTATACTGTACCTCTCAAACTCATTTGATACAGTCAAGTTTGGGTCAAGATATTCCATGTCTTTCTTACAGGGAGAACTCTTACCATCAGAAATGGGGTTCCACAGGGCTCTATTATTGGACCATTGCCATTCAGTCTGCCTCTGATGCTGATGTAGCCAATGTTTAATATTTTCAATGGATTTTACTGCCCTTAAGAGGTGAAAAGTATCAAATATTTAACTTTAAGAATTTTAGAAGTTTGACGAGTTGAAAGGATGCAATATTTTACCAATTCTAGCAATTTTATATATCCCAAAAAGGTGAAAATATCCAATATTTTACTTTTTTAGGGATTTCAGAGTCCTACAAAAGGGAACGTATCAAGTATTCCATTTATTTTTTAGTCCTGAAACGATGAACATATTGTCGGAGCAATTTTGAAATCCCACTCTGATAACGAGGAACGGGACAAAAAATCTCCTACAGTATTGTCACACTTTTAATGCTCAAAGCATGGTGCACAGGACAGGAGTTAGGTTGAAATATACACCCCATTGTGCATGATCAGAGGAATTTATCTTACAGTATAGCATCTCACATATTTTAGAGACTTTAAAGGCTGTAAAGTGTGAAAATATGCAATATTTTAGACCATAGTCCTTTCGTACTTGTGTCAATCGTTATGCAGATGATACAGCTTCATGTGTCTCTTTTTACAGCCCTAAAGAGGTGTAAGTATCCAACATTTCACTTAAATAATTTTAGAAGCTCAAAGAGGTGAACAGCTATTACATTATTCTAGAGATTTTTAGAGGATTGAAAATATGAAAATATTCAATATTTCAGTTTAAGGATTTCAATCAGTTCTTGAATGAGTTCTTCAATATCCATTTTTAGAGTCCTACAAAAGTGAAATTATTCAGTATTTCACTTCTTTTAAATATATTGAAAGCATTTAGATTCCTGAAAAGACAAAAACATCCAGTATTTGATGTATTTTAGAAACTTAAAGGCCGTAAAATGTGAAAATATTCAATATTTCATTTTTTAAAGGTCTTTTGTGAATCAGTTCTCTAATCAGTAATTCAATATACATTTTTATGCAGATGATAAAAATGTATTTGCCCCAGACTCATCTTCTTCAAGACTGACGATTAGAGAAAGTTATAAATTGGTAAATATGTGTGTTTAAACCTAAAATCATGAAAAAGGAGCAAATCGTTCAACGTAAAGGTATTTCCAAAGGCCAAAGTATAGTGGCAAGTATTAAAATTAGAACATTAGGGTTAAAGCTTAAAAGAGGGCTAAGATTTATGTACCTGGATCTGGGACGGGCCAGGATGGCTCGGTAGAGCAGGCTGAAGGGGAGCGAGCGGGTTCGACCCACAGACAGGATGATGGGGTGTAAGGCGGTCAGGACGTAGCCTTGTGTGTAGTAGGGCTGCAGGGCCTGGGGCAGCTCGGAGAGTGAAGCCACATATTGCACCGTGGGACGACTACCTGGAGGAACAGAGACACAATCAGTAGGAGACAATTCAGTAAAATGTAGCCAGCTGGTTTATACAAGTTACTACTACACCCCCCCCCCCCAGATTTGTCTGTATTCATGTAAACATAGGACACCGTCCAGCACCAAAAATCATGCACACTGTCTGGGAACGTTTTATTTTCCTTCCTGTGTAATGACTTGAACATCATTTTTCCACTGTTGCTCATAGAGACAGGAAAGCGCACACACACACGCACACACACACACACACACACGGGGTCTGTCAGATGATGATGATGGGGCATAGCATTTATTTTAATTTCAGTTATTTATTGTATATTAGTTCAGCATCAGAGAGGCTGCTATTTTTAGTAAGTCGTCACATATGGAACCATTTATTAGACATCCTATGGCGTGTGAAACTGACATGTCGGCACCTTTACATCAAGTGTCCTGCAATATAAATATGACGATGTTGCAGATCTGGAAGCTTCTGGTCTGAGAGTTTTAATATCCTGAGTCCAGCTGTGTCAGATCGCTTCAAAGACTGATGACTGCCATTAAAAACAACAACCACCAACCCCGGCATGTTGAGGGAAACACCAAACCACCCCGAGCTTACGTAAAGGAAGGAGATATACACACACACACACACATATATATACACATATATATATACATATACACACACACACACACACACACGCTCCTCAAGCGGTTATGTCTGGTGTGGCTCTGAGACTGGAACAAGAAGAAATGGAGTATAATCTTCATGCTGCTGTGAGATCATTTTCTTTTCTTTTTCTTTATCCGTTATGCTCTCAATTATTGTTTTGTCTATAAAATGTCTAGCCTGGTTCAAGACTTCTGAATCACCTACAACTTTTAGATTGAAGTGAAACAAATCAATTTAGTCCAATTATTAGTCTATAAAATGTAAGAAAATAGTGAAGAATGCCCATCTCTTTTTGGATGTATTGCATTTGTACTTTTACTTTTTCATTCTCCACTCAGGTAGACATTACTCCAACATATCTTTACATAGCATATAGTTGTTTGCTGCTATATTGATGCTCTGAATATCGAATTTAGTACCTTCAAAAATGGACGCAACCCTCGTATGAATCAATTTATAAGCATTTTGATGAAGATCCAATTTTGTGGCTCGGAGTTCATATGCAGGCATCTCTTGAATATTTGCACACGACTGTCCATCACTGTGTGGCTACTGAAGCAGATCTACATGAATATTACTATTTTGTAAAATGAATCGATACCCTTAAGAGGATTTTGCAGACTTGAGGAAAGTACAAACTCTCCCGAGGCGTCACAGGATCACAGGTTGTGTCGTGTAGTTTACTCGTTTCGGTTCACATGTTATCCATGTCCTCGCCCCTTTCAGAGGTATAAAGAGTGCACGGTGGGTTGTGAGGAGCTGGTACTGTGTTGCTGTTGTCTTTTCCTTAAGAAACTCTGGCTGGAAATCCCTGTGGCAATCATCATACTTCCTGTGTCCACAAAGAGTGGCTGTTCACAGAGGGGCTTGGCTGTGTGCCCCATGAACACACACACGAACACACACACACACACACACACAAACACACACACGAACACACACACGAACACACACACAGTCCATTTGACGAATTTCAAGTTGTATGTGTGTGAGAGCATTCCTCACTACAACCCCCCACATTCTCACGGACAAACACCCCAGAGATCCAGTCCACAGCTGAGAGATCACTGCAGCCTCTGAATGGTTTGTCTGGCCGGCTCCATTATGAGACTGAAGACTACCAGAAGAACCTCAATGAAACCACCAAAGCAAACGCCCGGCAAACAGTTTACTCGCATTCCTGTGGGTGTAAATCCCGCTCCAAAACACTTAAATATAGATTTAACACAGGGACGTACATGTTGCAGCTGGTGGACAACATCAATGCTTCACTACAACTTTTAGGGCAACTTTCTTTTTCCTTCAGAGGATGAAACAGAGCAACGTCTGGAGGCTCACGCTGAAAAAAAGCAGGCAACCGCGCTGCAGATAATGGCTCCCAGGAGGACCATGATGTCATGCACACACACCTCCAAGCAAGGCTTTTGTTGCAGCCTTTTTGCTCGTCTCCTCCCCTGCTTTCAGTCTTCACCCACCACCCCCTCCCCTCCCATCCTGGTGCCACTCGCCCCGTCATCCCGCACACTGAGGCCTCTGTTTAGTGATGTGTGGGAGAAAAAATAAAGAGGAGGAGAGGAAGAGCTGAGGACTAGCAAAGAGGGTAAAAAAAAGGGTGGGGGGGGGAGAAGAAGTAGAGGTGGGAGCTGGCAGGATGGGTGAGGGAGGGGGGGGGGGGAGTTAAGGGGCTCAAGTGGAGTTGAGCAACAACTGAGGGCACAGAGAAGGGGTGACAGAGCCGAGAGAATGGGAGGAAGGAGCCAGACAGCAGTTACGAGGTGGATTTTATGAGCCCGTTCGTGAATGGGAGACAAGGTGTGAAAAGGAGAAAGCAGCCTGGCAACAAGGAGCCACAAAAACAAGAGTAACACTAGAAGGAAACAAGCACCTCTGTGAGAATGCTTTGATGCCAACAAGCTAACGTCAGCATGCTCACAATTAGAGGTGTTCCGGTTTCCGACACGGATTCAGATACCTCAACTACCGATCCGATACATGGCATTATAAACATGTCACTGTTTCACTCGAGGAATTTTCCAGTGTAAAATATTGCCAAATTACTGACATTTTGCAAGATTACACCCTCCGCTAGCACCTCCCAGATCCGTACTGCACATGTGCAACTCTCAATCAGAGATGTACAAATCGGGTAGCGATGTAGGACGAATACCTGCATGGACGGAGACATGATCGTTAGGAAACAATGAAGTAAAATGCACTCCATCTGGTTTATGAAGGTTACTGCCACGTGTATTTTAGGCTCCTAAATGTGGACAAAGCTGAAAATGCTCTCATGTTCTAAAAGCTCCGAAATGCTAAAAATTTCATCCAGAACACCAGTTGAGTGTTTCTTTATTTTAACAGACGGCTTGTGAATTCAGTTGAAAAGTGCAGATTAGTTGGTGTCGTGATGCAGTTCATTGCACTTCTGCAGCAGACTGTTGGTGCTCTGCACTATTTTGAGCACCTCCCATCTCCCCATCCTTCATCCCCACAGCCCAAAACACACACACAGTGAGTTGACTATTATAAGTGACAAAAGAAAAGTAGGAAAACTATATGAAGTTCTTCCTTCCCGATACCTGAGCGAGTGACGCGTGTTGTTATTCCTGTGTAGCATTAATGAGCTGATAAATTATATGATAATGCGATATTGGATCGGTGCATAGATTCGCGTACTCGCAGTTACCCAATCCAGCATTTTAGGCTGCATCATAGGTATTTCTGATGCTAGTATCGGATTTTATGGGTGGTTTAGTGATGCACCAAAATATTAGATATTTGACATATTATCCCTTTTTCAAGTAGATATGGTGAACTTGATTGCAAACAGTTGCTTTTTTTACACATCCAGCAGTTACAACATGAATATTCATTTACAGTAATTTGTGTCCAACTGATAAAGTCCAATATTCACTCTTTTAGCTCCTGTTTTGGTCTCCACCAACTCCCGAAAGTCTCTTTAGCTGCTAAATGCTTCACAAACTTTACAAGCTAGTTTCTAACCGTGTATGTCTGCTGTTTGCTGCTGAGCAGGAAGTGTTAAGTGGATTTATTAGAGCTTTTTCCTCTGAAAATGACACTATGAGAACTGAGAGATTGATCCAGAGCAGTATAGTTTGGGGGCCTGATACATAAAACATGAGCTGAAACTCAAACCGACAAACTGAGTGCTGATTCGAGCTGATTAGAGAAGGCATTCAACCCTCCAATGTGGCCATCTCAGCTCAACATTAGCCGCATTATGCCAATCAACTGGAATCAAAGATAATTGATTATCGAGTGCAAGTTTCCAGGTTTCTGCTGCCCTTCACATCTCCTCTAAATGTAATAATGAAAGTACTGGCTTTAATCTGAAATAATCCAGCATGTGCCGTTAGATTCCCAGATTAGACAGAGATTACAGAAAATCGCACTCATCCCTGAAAATAATGACGAGTACTGGCCGACAGATAGATCCTTTTACCATCAACACAGTGAATCGATGCCTCGGTAGGTCAGACCACATCCAAACAAATCAGTCGCCATCTCTTGACGGATTAGAAGGTTTCATTTCATCCCACATTTTCCTCAACAGTCTTCAGCTGAGTTCATCCAACCAGTGATGAATACACGTCGCCTCAGTTTAAGCCATCTCTCCACCCGCAAATCCCTTTGTGTTGTCCCCTTTATTCATCTAGTCCTGACCTGCCGTCGCTGTGCAACTTTTCCAATCATCCTCTGATCCTTGATTCCCTTCAGAGTCCACTTCAAGTCTTTGCATGACACCGCTCCATGTGCAGGGAAGTAGAAGCCCGTCAGCCTCAGGCTTCAGGGTCGGAAATCATTCGTCGCAAGAGGAAACAGGATTGTTATCGTCTTAATGGGAAAAAGTTATTTTTCTTTAAATTTCACTTTAAGATAAGATAGAACTGTATTTATTCCAAGGGAAACTGTGCGTGCGTTCAAGATATACGGTACGGTCAGCATGCTAACAAGCTGATGCTAACCATGATTAGCATCTCACTTTAGTAGCACGCTAACATTTGTGCTTATTATCTCTAAACACAAAGTACAGCTGAGGCTGATGGGAACGACATTAATTGTGCAGATCTTAACAAACCAAAGTATTGAACAAGTAAAAAAGTTGACCTGATGCCGCTCGATGAAAAGTTAAAGGATTGAAGTTATAAATCATCCACATGAGTGTGTGTACCAAACAATCCACTCAATTGTTGTTGAGATATTTTATTTTAAAAAAAACCACAAATGTCAAACTTATAGCGGTGCAACAGGAAAAGTCAGACGATCACCAAAGTCAACAGGCTTCCTCTGGGGACCATGAACGTCCACAATTTA